CGTCGCTTGCTCCGCGCAGCGTCTCTCCATTCACGACATTCCGCCCCTGTTCGCGGCGCAGCCTGCCACGGCCCCGCGATCAGGGGCCTTGCCGGCGCATGCGGTTGAAAATCGCCAGCCCTCGTCTGTGTCGTCAGGTGATGTTAGGTCTACGCTGGGGGCTGTTATACACTGGTGTTATGATTGTGTGTGTGTGTGACGCGTTAGGAGTCGTGCAACATTAGGTGATTTGATATTTTGGGTCTTACGATGCATTAGGTGTGGTAATGCATAAGAGGTATGATATGTTAGAGGTTATGAACATCAGGCTTTTGATAAGTTAGGAGTTACGAGCTTCAGGCGCTATGATACGTTGCGTGTTATGATGGATTGGAGGTTATGGCGTCAGTGGTTATGATACAATGGGTTATTTCGAACATTAGGTGTTATCAGGCATTAGTGGTAACGAGCCACAAGTGTTGCGGCAATCCCGCGGATGGGGGCTTGGCCAATACAGTTGGCCTGAACCACCCCCAAATCCTCATTTCTCTCCCAATTTCCGCCACTTTGAGATCCGTCCTAAGGTCAAAATCACAAACATAACAAAAGTTCATCTGTACCGACCTTGTTTTGATGTTGAGAAATTATTTCCCATGTGAAACTGATGTGATGGCGATAATAGCGATATACGATGGCGATATTGATAGTGATGCTTTAGGTGATATAGATTAGGTAACTAGGGTTAGAGCAGTTCAGTCGCTTGCTGCATTGCGTTGCCCCAGTAGTCCTTTTTTGTTTGTATGAGGTGGGCCCTCAGATGAGCATTCATGGGCTTAAGTCACTATTGTCCCCTGCCCCCCCCTCCCCCCACCCCCCGACAGTGTACAAAGAGACACACCTCAGCCTGATTCTTCTAAACTGGTATGAGGGCCGGACCTTTAACATGTCGAAGAGAATCCTCGACAGTTACTTTTCTCATGTTTGTTATTTGCAAATCCTGTGCTAAGGCGGTCCGAAACGTCAATTATTTGAAGTAGATTGTTTAAAAGAAATGCTTCACATTTGAAAATAGTACAGCAAGTATCAGATTTGATGCAACAAGCTCACTATTGGTATTCTTTTTAATTGGAAAGGGCTGGTCTTAACAGCCTAATTCTTTGACAGCTTGGTAAGCATTCTCCTCAGTGCGTCACGAGTTGATTACGTCATCGTATCTTGCAAAACACTGATGAGAGCCAATTGACGGCCGTTATATCTGGAAACTGGGCTCCACAAACATCAGATATGGACGCCTCGACAACGCTATTTTTCTTAGACTTGATGGCCGCATGGCCTGGGGAATGACAGGATTGGAATGACGTTATTATGGCGTCATGAATGTCACGGTGACTGCAATACTCTCCCTGATATATGTTCCCCATTTTCGCTGGTTATGTAGCCCAGAAACTAGGTGGCTTAAGAAGGGCGGGCTTGTGAACAGCACCGGAAGGTTTTTCAAGATGGCTATTTCAGATTTAAAACCACCATTTAAATATGGAATACTTCCTTTAAAGAGAGTTCTCCACATTTGTATGTGGTTTTGAACTGAAATAGCCTTCCTGGCGATCGTGCCATTGCAATTCCCAACCTTGTCCTTTAACCCTGACATTGCCAAAATTATCTGACACTCCCCGCTGATTTTCGATTTAAGTAATTTTCCCGCTGTCGTAAGGCTTTTTGTTGTAATGTTGAACTCCGTGTAACATTTTTTCCCTTCACTAATGGGGCAAATTGTCATGTGAGTCATGTGGCACTGAGATCGCATGGCCACAAGGTAAAGGCTTCCAGTGTCAGCAAGCAGATGCGCTGAAGATAACTGAGATATGCCGTTTTATCGTGTTCCAAGTCATACATTTGTGGTCCTCAGCTATTACTAAGGCACATAATATCCGAGTACAGTCAATGAACTTACTAGAACATGTGATCCAGCGTGCAGAGGGAAGCTTATTTTGACATGGCCAGAGTTATGTTAGGGCAGGGGCGTGGCAAACAAGAACCATGAGGCAGACTACAGCAGCTATGTGATAAACGCCACAAAGATTCCAGAAACATTTTGGGCGGAATTTTAACATGCTTCTGGACACCGTAATTTGACATTTCAGAATGGATACTAATACCGGGAAGAATATGCAACTCGGATTCAGTAGGAAAGTAGGATCAGATGAAAGGATCCCGAACTATTTTGTGATCGAGCACACGTCTGGTCAACACTCTATGCAGCTTTGACTTTTGACGTCACGTCTACGACCAGTAGCAACATACGTTCGTATGAAAAACACATTCCGAAGAAAGTACGGAAAAGCTTTACATGCATCTCAAAACACAACATGACGTTTCAAGAGAAATTCCACTGAGCAAAGTTAAATGATGACATCATTAAACGCACGTGCTGGGTCAATGCACGACCACAGAGGACGGATATGTAAACTTCAATGCCCAACAGTTGATTCTGAGTTTTCAAACAGTACCAAACTTTAGGGTTATTTGCATTTGAGTGGACGATGACGGTTTCGTAGCTGATTAACAAGTTGGAAGTGTAAAGGTCGCACGGGACGTGATCTGTTCGTAAACGGATTTTCACCTCCAGTCCTCGGCATGTCGGCTCTGTTCTTGTAGGCTCGTCCATTGGTCGTGCGTCTACACCATCGCTTTCCAGGATAACTTGTCAAATATTTGGGTTCCTCAACATCCGATTGTTCGCATGTCTTCCCCCCCCCCCCCCCCAGAAGCTGGTGCCCAGAGGCTGTATACCGCACCATCGTTTTCATTTTGTAACACTGTTGTGACAAAGGTTTTGTGGGGACACAGCACTGGCTAAGAACTGACACCCTGATGAGTTGAAGATCTTGATCTTGTGGAGTTAAGTGGACGCCTCTTTCCGCTTGACCAACCTGCTAAGCCTCACGAGAAACGGACGATCAATTGATCGCCAAATGCGGCTGTATGGTCGCTCGTCTGTTCCGTATGCTGTGTTTATTTGACAGTTATTTTGCAGGGTCATCCTGGCCGTCCGACCTGCATCTAGTCCGGGTCGTCAACAAATATACGCCTCTGTTTTCTGGCGAGCCGTGGAAGTGTAATTCATTCCTACTGGTTTGTTCCTTCTGGTCTCTACTCAATGTTGTTGATCCGGTCTGCTTTTTTGGGCAACAAGTCTCTAGATGCTACTGATGCTTCCCATTCTTCTTTGAGAACGGCTGCGTCTTGGGCTGCCTTTTCAAAATTGCCTAGGGAGGAATCAAAAATAGAATTTGGCCTGAGCCTTACAGAGTCAGCATATGGTGCGGCATTTGAAGACGCCTGCATGATGGTTTTCAATGTGTGTCAATGGAAAATGATTAACACGAAGGGAGAGAAAGGACGTCTGCATACCCCACGCCATATCTCATATGCATATCATATATATGGATACAGCATATCTCGAGGAACAACGATAGAAACATGCTAACTATCCCCACTAAGCCAGTATTTTCCAACACGCGCGCTGAACATCAGTCACTAAGAACAGTCGACCCTACGTCATGTGCATCGCGGTTATGTGAGATCGAAAATCGCGTGCGCTGGCCTGTGACATTGGTACATGGGTCCGTCAACAGATGTCGCGGAGGGTGCCGAGTGGACCGGCGTAGATTTGCTTCAGCAACGGCTTCAGTCGCTGCTTGAACGGCATGTTTTCGGTTTCAGTGACTGATCCACACATCTGAGGGAGCTTTCTGATTTTACCAGCTTTGGTACAATGCCGCTGGCATGTTAGCTGAGAGCTGTTGGATATCAACAACTTCCCGCTTTTTCTTGTGATGGATGTGCCGCAAATTCAGGTAAGGGCCCTACTAAAATGTCGAGATTGAAGTCATCTGTAGGTGAATATGTAGGAACACCAGTTTTGCTTGTATAGCTGTCTGGTCTAATGGCGCTTGTATAGAAAACCAGAAAGCCGAAATGTCTACATCTGCGGTTGAAGAAAGCGCGTCAAGGGGAAATTGGACCAGCGCAAGACATCTAACGTAAGGGAAAATTCGGACACTGGAAATTGGTCAACGTGATGCGACCGAACAAGTTTCTCACGGGAGGAATTGTTCACCCGCTACTAATGCTCCCCGGGTATATATGAATCCCTATTGACGCAACGTCACCCATAGATCAGGGGTGTACGCATGTGGTAGCCCCCGGTTCACGTGCCCCTCCGCTTATCAACTTTATGGCATGCAAGAATATGTACGTGACTCCATGTTGACGGTTACAAATGCCAGACAGGCCGGTAAAAATGAAAACAGAACGAGAGCATGCATTATTTTTTTACGGAACGGGAGACATTGCATGCGCCTGCGGCGCGCTTGCTTTTATTTTTAGGTAAGATTTGTAAATAGTGCTCATCCTCATTGTAAAATTTTGCCCACGTTCCTGCCGTGGATGTTCATATAAATGACTATTTACCTTCTCAATGAAAAACAAATGAGAGGATTGCAGCAGCCGTGGCAAATACGGAACCGGTTTTTAAAATAAATCGTGTTGTGACTTTTAAGAGCTTTGCCAAAGAAGCGGATTGCGGAGAAAAATGAATTAAATTGCACAAAATCTTGCATAAAAAGAGGACTTTAAAACAAGGGGGAAACACGTTTGATTATTGCTTTTCCACAATTACAGCTGAAAATATTCCAGACACAAAAAAAATCTGGAAGGTCCACTTCACGCACGCACGAAATTCCCCAACGCACCTTGAACGCACAGTCCCTGACCCATAGGAGCAGACGTTCATACATACTGTTAGCCATTCGGTTAGTGCATGATGCTCCAAGTTTGCAACTAAAGGTATACATCGGTTTCGAGCTCCGAGGCATCAACGCGCTGACAAGCGATAGCCAGATTGTGCCTTCGAACACCACATTCTTGACCTGAAAGACAAGTTTCAATTGGCTGTAAGCTGTCTGGAGAAAACTCTCAGACCTCCGTCTAAGCAAGCACCACTGTGCAGCAAGCCTCACCTCGGCCAAGAAGTTGCGGTGGTGACCGACGCAGCCGGCGATCGCTGGGCCAACGTCTTATGTTGTTCCGTTCGGACTGCCCCGAGCGTAGTCGGCGCGAGGAAGAGAGGTGGGAAACGAGAGCCAAGGCCCGGAGGAAGCCCCTCGTGCACAATCGGACAGCGCGCTGCGTCAGGAAGGGGCGGAGCCAGCAACGGTGCCGTCCAATCAGAGGGCCCCTCGCCTCCGCGGATGGCTCCGTGACGCCGTTGGACGCGAGGCTTTCCCGCCAGATCTAGAACCCAGTCCAAAATAATAGCACTTGTTGTCTGGGAGAGGCCCGGAAAACGGTGAATACGTGAAATCCAGTTATACATGTGCGATGCGAGTTTAGTTACCGTCGTTTACCTCCCCGTAGAATACTGGCTCATCGACCTCCATTCAGACCAAACACAAAACATAGTGCCGATGAAGCGCTACGATAATTTCATAGCTTTACGTCAGCGCATAAATTGTGCTTTCACCACGTGAGGATGCTGGACTTGATCCGCACTGTCTTTTGCCTGGACGTCGCCGCCGGCCGATGCCTGTGCTTCACCAGCATTAAGTACCTCAAGAGTAACTTTTTTATTCCTTATTGCAGCTCGATTGACAGTGATCCCCGGGCCGTAAAAATGTTTCCAGTTGTATAACTAACTGGTGCATTGGTGTCGGCTCGCTCTGGCTTTTGAACTGACTTGAATTTCTCACCAAGCTGAACACATTTGGGAAATAACAAAATCAGTTCAAGCTCACTTCGATTATCAATCGGTTTAGCCGAGTGCATGTAATCGACGACAGTGCTTAATTTTGTACAAATATTAAATCCGGCATGCAACTTCATCATTCGCAGTGTTGACAACGGTACCAATCTTGGTAAACAGGGCAGAGTGACCCATAAACGCAGGGCTCCTCAATACGCACAAGCGCACAAAGCTGTAAGTGCCGCTCCAGTACTCTTTTCGTCATATGGCTATCTATATGGCGCATAACTTACTTCTTGCAAAGAGCATGGTAACACTCAGTGTTGTGTGCAGGGAGAGAAAGAATGGCAGCGATTTGTCAATATAGTTTCACTTAAGTTGTGTCCAGATAGAACGGTCGACACATAACGTATGATGTTAAGCTTCCATCTACTGTAGTAAGCAAATTAAGTCGCAACTTTGAGGAACTATGCAAGCAGGAAACAACAAGTGCTTTTCTTGCTTGCCGAAACAATTGGACAGGGCAAACAGGTCAGTTGTGCTACAAATCCTAGAGCCCTTGAGTACGCCGTCGAGAACAAACATCCTAAACACGCACAGCCTGATCATTGCTAATTATACGCACAATACTGCACTTGAATGACAATACTGCAGACTGCAAATAATTTACATATGAACGACTCAGCTTGCTGTCCACCCCCGTCAAACTGACATGGAAATCCCCTTATTGAGCTCGAATGTTTTCGAACCCTCATCTAGAATATGCGCACCGGTTGTTACCAAGCACGTCAATGGGAGCCTGCCCGCTTGATTGGCCGATTCGTTTTTTTATTCAGCGTTATACTTTGTCCGACCAGTGGAGTTTCAGAGGTTTCCGAGAGAAGTGACAAGACGAATTAGCCAAGACCTAAGAATTGCTTTACATGATTCTTAAGACAAATTATCTTCTGGCATGCTTTCAAGTTCATTGATAAGTAATTTGACCGCGCTTTGATGACCGCGCAGGCAGTACGGCCCCGCTCAGTCATGCGCTTGCACACCAGCGCACGCATATAGGCAGCATCAAAACCAGTGCACGCATATTGGCAGCATCGAAACCAGTGCACGCATATAGGCAGTGTCGAAACAAGTGCACGCATATGGGCAGTGTCGAAACAAGCGCACGCATATAGGCAGCGTCGAAACAAGTGCACACATGTGTGTACTAGGTAGCGTCGCGCCGATGAATTCGAGACAAACGTGTAATGTGTGTATTGCGTGTGCACTAGATGTCTGTAGTATCTGTTCGTGGTTGAATCACTAATCTCTCCAGACTACTTATTTGAGAACCTCTGTGCAGTTTCGTAACTGTGCGCTGTGTCCTCTAGAACGCGAATGTGAATAAACCGCCGGTGGAATCTAAAAAGTAAACGCAAGATGCTAGCAACATTGCTGTTGAACTCCCAACGAATTCTTTCCTTAGAAGAGAATTCCTTAGAAGAAAAGAATTCTTTCCTTTTCTTTCCTTCCTTTTCTTTCCTTCCTTTCCTTTCGGAACTTGGCACATTTACTGCGGTGACAATGGGCTGAACACGTGACCAAGTTACGAGGCAGTAAACGGCGCGCTGAACCACGAGAGGCGGCGTGGTCAGGGGTATTGCCAGGAGAATGTGCTGGCTCGGCGTGGGATTGTCCACAAGGGGCTCACTCTTGCCGTTATCTTTTGAAAGCTGCGCCACGTGCGATGTTCTAACTGTCATCGCCATCTTTGTGGCCGCCATATTTTGTTACATTGTACCCAGCGTCCTTGTGTGTGTACACCGCGATATGCTGGAAGTTGGTAATCAATGTCATTTGGCCTTATCACTGGTCCTCCCAACCTGAACATTTACAAACGTGCTCTCGGCAAGAAGTGCGTCAACATTCACGAACACAGGCATGAGGTGCGCGATAGTATTTAGTATGATATCAGCGCTCACAGCTAGAAAGGTACATGTCTTTCAATAACCTCTCGTTTGCTCTTGTTGATATTTAGTCTCATCTTAACAAAACCGCTGGATCTCACAAATGAGGTAAGAAAAGGCTTGGCAAAGAGCAGGTAAAGAGCACAGCTTAAGAGAGAATGTCTCTGAACACTTATCCTTGGATATCCAGCTCAGTGAGAGGAGTAATATCCCAAGCGTTGTCAGTTATCTTGTGGCATTTCGCCAACGAGGTTTAACCTTTCATCATCGAGTCGGAACATAGCTGATTGTACAAAAGGTATGTTTAATTGTGACTCAATTGAACGCAAACATGCGAAATATGGCAACTGAATGGCAAAATGTTTGGTAAATCAGTTCTTCAAATAATCATGGCAAAGAAACAAATCAATGACGAATCAACAGGCGAAAAATGACTATTAAAGAGACGTATAAGTAGGGTGAAATATTCAGACCAAAAAACTACCAATAAAAAGAGGCATAAAATAGCGATTAAACAGACGAATATAATGGCGAACATACAGTGACATCAAGTTCAAAATAAGCCACGAACGCCGAACGCGTTACATAAATATTTCGCATTGAACAGACGATGCTAAAGCCGTAGGAGCTTCGTAAAGGTTCTAGTGTGCAAAGCATTAGTTAGGCTTTGCATGTGAGGAGGTATTTCGATAATGTCAGGCATGTTTAAGGTGTGTGTTTAACGTTTTTTACATCACGAAATATTTTGCAGTCCTAGATAAACATTTGGTCCATTAGCAGCGCGACGAATGATTGATTTGCGAAGCACAGTGACGTCTATTTGACATATGTAATATTCTCACCTTCGTTTGAATTGTAAATTAAAGTGTCGTGAATGCGGTGGGCCAGAAGTGAACAAATCTCTAGGAAGGCTCCCATCAAGCCTAAGGGAGTTCTTTATTTTTCCTTTGTATGAGGTTTTGAACTAAAATAGCTATCTTAAAGATCATTCAGTGCAGCTCACAGCCTTGCGCTTGTTAGGACCTAAACCCCTCTAGTTTCTTAGCTAAACGCCTCACGACGATGTGCAAACTATCTCAAGGTCACCCAGTCATCCACGACGCCATAATTACGTCATTCAAATCCTGCAATTTCACTGGTCATGCGGCGATCAAGGCCAAGCAAAATATCATTGTCGAGTCATCTATATCTAGCATTCGCTTGCACGGTTCCAGGCTATAACGGCCGTCAATTGGCTCTCAATCGATGCTGTGCAAGGTGTGATGGTACAATCGAATAATGGCGCCTTGAGGAGCATCCTAACTAAACAGAGAAATTGTGTTGCATAGAGCAAACTTTTCCACTTAAGTATAACGATTGTTATAAGTGAGCCTATGTCATCATATATGATGATTGCTTCAACATGTTCAAATGTAGAACATTCCCTTTAACGTAGCGCAGATGCCAGTGCCTTATCACCACCGGCACTTTTCAGTTTAGTTGTTAATGCATGCAAATTAAAAATGAATGTGACTCAAGTTGACACCCCTGCCGTCGTACTAGCTCAAGCCGGCGATGTAATTGGTGGATTATTCCAAACCAGATATACTGACATTTTTGACCGCTTCATCCTTTGGTCCCTTCAGTCCTATGAATTATCTTTAGTACCACGTGTGACTAGGGGTCCACGTCTCTAAGCGCATCCCGTCCAGACACGGTATTGGGAAGCCACCAAATACTCAGCAAAACGTAAACGGTGCTGCGAGCAAGATGTTGTTGGAGCGTAAGTCTTACTTGAACTATGGTACAAGTCTCGACTTGAACAGCTCGAATAGTCCAGGCCGTCACGCGTTCTAAAAGCTTAGGCGCTCCTTTTTAGGACCAATAACAATAGGCTCAAGTGGTTTTCAACAAAAATATCAGATTCATTACAACCTGAGCTGCATAAATTGTTGTTTATTGTCGAGTAACCTGTCTAGCGAGACCAGTTTGCCCTGCAGCATTGCGATGCGACAGCGATTTGATATAAGCCGCTCGATAAGCATGCAAAAAGTATTCTCAAAAGCTGCAAAACACGGATAAGAACTTAACCCGGATCTCAACGAGTGGGTGTTGTGGTGGCCCGGGGCTAACGTATTCTGACGGATCAGAAAACGGACCATCGCGTGGAAAGACGCAGCGGTCAATGAGTACAGGTGGTGTCGCGCCCTCGTGCGCAGACCGTCAGTCCACCAACTTGGGGACGTTTTGAGGATTGATGGGCTTCATTTTCATTGGAAAACCCTTGCGAACTCTCGTTGTCCCGTATTTGTCCCGCACCTGACCAGCAGCGTAATTCGTCGGGGATATCCATACATTCGTCCGCTTATCCATATCATTATCCAATATCCATACATCATTGTCCAAGTTGTCCTTGGATAGCAAGTCATATAAGAGC